AAAAAAAAAAAATTTTTAAAAAAAAAAAAAAAAAAAAAAAAAAAAAAAAAAAAAACAGTTTAATATTGGTAGAAAAAAAGAAAAATAAATTTGAATAAAAAAAAAACAACTTTAATTTTATACTGAGAATTTTTTGTTTTTTAATTTCGTTCACTCTAGTCTCGGGCCAATAGAAGAGCCAAGGGTGTTAAAAAAACATTTTGTTTGTCTTTTTTTTTTATATACCAAAAGCAAATATTCGATTTATCTAACAAGATCTAGCAACAAACTGTTCAACATTTAGTTAACTAGGCCTCAGACTCAGATTATAGATTATAATTTTAGTCCAGTCGAGGCAACTGTCAGATTTTTGTTAAAAATTATTTCGGATTTGCTTAAAGATATTCATTTGCTATTATTTATATCAAAATTTCAAAATAAATCCTAGCTAAGTATTATAATAATACACGCACTACATTTTAAATCTTTTCTCATATTGTTGCTTACGGCAAAAAGAGTGAATGATAATGCTCCTAGAAGCCTAATGTGGGATTCTTGGGTAACAAAGTCAACAAGGGGAAATTACTTTTATGGGTGAGCAGTAATACAGTCCTACACAGCAGTCAGAGTAATGACCATACTAGCTAAAAATAATATGTTTACATATGTATATTTACATATGTATATATTTTGTAAGTGAAATATATTCATATCCAATCAACATTCACTTTGGGGCAAGCCCACGAAATGCTAGGGAAGAGCATTTTGCCTGAAGTGTTTGACTGATGCTTTCTGATGATTTCTTCACGCTCTGCTCAATTTTAATTAGTGGCAGTGGTACAAGCACTCACTCACTCACACACACACACACACACACACACACGCATGCACACTCACACATTTTGACGCACAGATCGCAGCAGCTGAAAACAGTTGGCAATCTGTCGGCCAGGCCCACTGCATCTCTAGCTGCTAATCAGGCACATTTTCTGGCATCTCGTCAGAGCGCATTCGCATCTTCTTGTTGACTTTTGCGGCTGGGCATATTTACGGTACTTCTATAGTCAAAATGTTGATGACTGTTTGCTGCACAGCCGGCGCACTGACAGCCAATGGCAACGTTGCGTTGCACAGTGGGCAGAGATTACACTGTTTAGTGGTGAAAATTTATAGTTGTACAGAGAGAGACAGAGACTCGAATAGATAATATTCTATATAAGTTTATGTTATATTGAATATTTAATTATATATAATCTATATAAATATCTGAAAGTATTTGCTTTAGCTTGACCCAATCGGAGCTATACGAAATTCTATTTCAGATACTATTCAATGTTTCTTTAAAATAAACCATAAACCCTTTGGAATTCACTTCATGTTGGCATCCAAGGTTTGGGTTTGTCAACAGATCAACTGTATATAGTTATATATAGATACATATATGTATAGATCATCTCTATATGGTTATTTATAGCTGCTTGTTTGGGGTTATTCAATGGACTTGTTGCAATTAGTCTAGAATTATTTTCACATATGCAATGCTCAAATAGTATTTCTAGATTTTTTGGCTTGAGTAGCTAGTATATATATTTCCTAGCAGCTTTTGTGTCTCACGTCATCAGTTCACATAATGTTGAAATATATATTGAATATAAGATTGATAAACATATGTATATGTGTATATAAAATGACCTTTACTGCATTTATTATTCGAAACTCTTGCCCTTTCTTGCATGTCTTGAGCTCACGGTGCAGCTGTGTGACGTTGCCCCCAACAACCCGTACGTGTTTGTTATAACAACCCTGTTTAAGGCAGGCAAACACTGTGAATGTTGTCAATAGCGTTTAGCTTCCAGTTCGATACGATAGTTGTAGTTAGACGACGCACAGCAGCAGTCAACAACAGATAATATTCACAAACATACATATACATATACACATACAAATATATATATATATATATGTAAGTACACACAACATACATACATACAGTACACACTGGGACTCCAAATGAAGCCCCAGACCAAATACGGCGTTGCGGCAACAGCAGCCTCAACGCTGCTAGTGGAGGATGTGAGAAACTTTACCACACGGCGCCGCAATTTGCTGTACCTGATGCACCGCTATTTGGTGGAGAATGGGTACTATAACAGCGCCGAGACACTGAAGGGGGAGGGCCGGCTGACCGAGGAGTATGAGGTGTGCGATAATGTGGACCTCGACGCCATCTATTTGGAGTATGCGAGCTATTTCAATATGAAGTTTGGCAAATATCCGCGCGTGCTCAAAAAGCTGGGACCCAAGCTGAAAGTGGAGCTCAGCTCGACGAAGGGCGTTGGCAAGGCAATCGACCAGCCGACGTCACAGCCGACGTCGCAGTTGCAGTCGCAGTCGCAGTCACAGCCGCAGTCGCAGTCGCAGTCGGTGCAGCGACCCGGCGATGCTCAGGCCTGTTGGCATGCGGGCGTTGGTGCAGCGACTGCCGCGGCTGCCGCCAGCCTGGCCGCCGACCCGCAGCAGCTGGGCCCGGGCCAGCTGCAGGCGAGCCGACTGTCGCTTCACATCAAAAAGATGGAGACGGCCGAGTCGATGGCAGAGCCACGGATCGCTGCACTCAATGAAATCGAGCATGGGCATGCGGGCGACGATGCGCTATTCGCCTCGCTCGAATGGCAGGCGCTGGCTGAGCTGGTCAAGACGAGCATCCTGTGCGAGGACATCAAGCTGCGCTGGACGGACATCTGCGGCAATCAGAACGCCATCGAGCTGGTCAAGGAGGCCGTACTGACGCCCATCGAGTATCCGCAATTGTTTGCCAACGGCCTCAAGCCCTGGCGCTCCCTTCTACTGCACGGCCCGCCCGGCAGCGGCAAGACCTACCTGGCCAAGGCCCTCTACGCCGAGACGCGCGGCAAGGTGACATTCTTTAACATCACGGCCAGCATCATGGTGTCCAAGTGGCGTGGCGAATCGGAAAAAATACTGCGCGTGCTGTTTCACATGGCCGCACGCCGCTCACCCTCCGTCATCTTCTTCGATGAGATCGAGAGTCTGACCTCGAAACGAGATCGCGCCACAGATCACGAGTCCTCGAAGCGATTCAAGAACGAGCTGCTGCAGCTGCTCGACGGCATGGAGCATACGCTCAGCGGCATCTTCGTGCTGGCCAGCACCAATCTGCCCTGGGACATCGACGAGGCCTTCCTGCGACGCTTCGAGAAGAAGCTGCTCGTGCAGCTGCCCAGCGCCGCCGAACGCTCCAGCCTGATCAACCGCCTGCTGGGCTCAACGATCAGCCTGACGCCCAAGCTGCTGGAGCAGCTGACTGCCCTCTCCGAGCACTTCACCGGCGACGAGATACGCCTGGCCTGCAAGGAGGTGAGCATGCAGCGCATGCGCCATGCCACACGTGCCTGCCGCGAGCCGAACCCAACCAAGCAGCCGCAGGCCCCGCAGGACGGTAGCGTAGAGCGGGCCTTCCAGCAGATCCGACCGCTGGGCATGAAGCTGTTGGCCAAGCACGAGCAGTGGCAGCAAGAGAACGGCTCCTGAATGCCACCGTTCACATTAAATGAAGAGAAGCTGCGAGTAGAGCTCTCGGATTCAAAGGTAGTGCGCGGTAGAGGCGATGCAAAATGGCTTTATCTGAAGGCTAACTTGTATTAGACTTGAATGCAAATAAAGAAGAAACTCAAGCTAATAAATTATGAATATAGAATAGAATGGACGAATCTGAAGTCAACATAAAACCTGATTATGAATGAAGAAAGGACCTAAGCTGAAAACAAAGAAAAAAAACCATAGAAGTACAAAAAAGTAATTAAGGTTTAATGATAAGATAATTGAAAGTTTCAGAGTTCTATTCTGTTTTATGTTGAGGCTAGTGTTACGAATTCCGGACTAGTACAATAAATGAATATATTTCCTAAGACTCGGTTTAATGAGAGATCAGGCAAGGCCTTAGCCTTACTGTTCCTATTCCTGTTAAGTACGAACAAGTATTTTTTCTTCAATATTCCACTTTCGAGTACACACAAAAGTATATGAAATACAGAGTGAGAGAGTGAGAGTGAGAGTGAGAGAGAGGAAGTGAGTGTGAGAGTGCGAGAAGAGTTAGAGCTAGAGTTAGGTTTACAATAGACATGTGAACGCAGCGTGTGGATGCGTTAGCGTTACCTTCCCGTGGTGCGACGTCTGGCTCCCGCGATGGTCATGCGGGAGACATTGCGACGAATGCGTCCGCTGGACCGACGCTGCGTGTTGATGGGCACCGAACCGGCCACGGAACGGCCACTGTACTCGGTGGTCGTGGAGCTGCGCCGATCGCTGCCGATCATCACGTCGGAGCAGAGCGACGAGGACATGATCGATGCGGCCGAACGCCGCTTGGCGCCCGTAAAGGTGCCGCCGCCACTGGATGAGGTGGTGGTGGCTGAGCTATCGGAGCGCGAGAATAGCGATGAGCGTTTGCTGCGATTGCTGGCGGTGCCAGCGGCATCCTGTATATTGCTATAGAACTCCTCCGTCTCACGGTCATAGCTGGCCGCCTCATCGTCGTCCATCGGCGGCCGTTCCTCGTCCTCAAACTCCTCCGCCTCGGTGGCCATTGTGTCGCTGCGCTGCGTCATGCCGCGCATCCCGTTCGAGGACGACGAGCCCGTATGCAGCTGATAGTACTCATGCTGGCTCATGTGCCCATAGTCGCGCGATCCTCGCGATCGATTGCTGCTGCCGAGCGTGCGATATGGCGCCGTTATCGTCGAACCCGAGTTGCTGGTGGTGCTCGTCGCGCCCAGCGAGTGCCGTTTGCTGCCAGCTCCAGCGGCAACAGATGCTGCTGCTGCTGCTGCTGCTGCTGCTGCTGCTACTGCTCCTGCTCCTGCTGTTGTTGTGGCCACCGCCTCGCCCTCGCCGTCGCTCTCGCCGCCGCCGACGCTGCCGCTGAATGTGACCTCGTGGAACTTGGAGGATTTGCGACGTGGCCGCGGCATATGCTCCGCATGGCCATGGCCATGCCCATTGCCCATTGTCGTGATGGAGACGCGTGGCCCATTGTTATTGTCCAGCTGTTGCTGCTGCTGCTGTTGCTGCTGCTGCTGCTGCTCCTCCTCGTCGGCGGGCATCAGGGTCAGTGCCAGCGGAGCTCGTCCAGCGGCGGCTACATATGCGCGACGCCGACTCCAGGGGAAGGCGCGTATAAATGCAAATATTATAAACAATGTGGCAATCATACTGCTGTGGTCGTTGGCTGCTTCGTCTGCTGTGGGTGTTGGCGGTCGGGTGGGTGTGGCTCAAGCAGTGGGTGGTGCTCTAGTGGTGCGCTGGCATCTCGAATGGAAATTCGTTCAGTTTTGTTTGCACTCGTTTTCTTTTCTTTTTTGTTTGTTCGTTTTTGGCGATTTTCGTTTTTGATTTGCAATTTGAATTCGTTGTTGCTTTTGCTTTAATTAACTTAAATTCGATTCGAGTTTGCTTTTAATATTGCACTTAACATTTCATTAGCATACAAAGCGCTAGGGAGAACGAGAGAGCTAGATGAATGTACGGGCTGTTAGAGAGTGAAAAAGACAGAGAGAGAGAGAGAGAGAGAGAGACAGACACAACGCACAGCAATTGAAACGGAAGCGGAAGCTTAATCGACACACACAAATACACAGCGGGGCGGGGAGAGATAGTAGAAAAACTAGATACAGATTCGAAGACATAGAGAAAGAGAAACGGAGAAAGAGATAAACTATTCTATACTACTTAGTCGAGTATAATTCTTCTGCTTTGAAAACTTTCCTCCGCTTACAGAACAGCAAAGATCCAGTATGTCTACAGATGGAGGACAGATCCGTATAACAAAGGTGAGCAAAAAGATTTAGCTCGAGAAACCAATATTAACATTCAGGTCCAGCCTAAACGTTTATGAACTCAGAGTTCCATAATGACCGACTAACCAAACAATCATCAGCATTTAAGCCAATTGGCAATATCATTTTAGTATGTGCATAGAAATATAAAGAAGCTCTCTCCTATTAGATATATGCTTGATCATGAACCATATTCTCAGTGCATATAATTGATTTAGAGTTCTCTAGTTTGACATTGACTGACTACAAGATATCTGGTCAATCATCAGCATGCACAATAAACTTTAACCCATTCGCTTGCACATAAGACTAAAACTTCTCTAGAAGCAAGGTGCACCGACTAAAAGATACCCGGACTTGCAAGCATAGTAAGCCTCAGCCTATTGGCTCTCACATTCAGTTTTTTAGTTTTCTTGTACAATGTGCACGACTTGGAGATACCCGGACGTTGATTAGCATACATAACGCTCTCATTTATCTAGTATAGTATCTACATAAGAACTCTTTAGCTCAATAATGAACGACCAATGGCTACCCGGACCAGAGATCATTCAAATCTATGGCAAAGCCAATCTCATTTGCTTGCACATAGCTATCAATGTATTAAGAGCAATACGAGTTGACTAGTCCCAGCATGACCGACTAACAAATACCCGGAGCCATTTGCTATTTTAAGCCAACTTATATGTCTGCTATGCGTTGATTAACTTTATATATAGCCGTATATATTTATGTAGATTTTTATTTAAACTTAGCCACTTAACGTTCCCTTTAGCTTAGAGTTCATACCAAACACTTATCGTTCCCTTTAGCTTAAAGTTCATGTCGATGAAGGGCCAAGGAGACAGACAAGTTATAGCTCAATTCACTTTAGCCCATCCTTTGCACCCTTCACTAATCGAAACATTGCACAAGCATCAAGACAGTCGCATTGAAAATTCGCATTGATTCGATTCCGATTTAAGCTTAAATAAATTTCGAAGACATCGCTCGGTTTGGTCTGCGGTCTGCGATGACAACATTTGTGCACGCTTCATTTGAACGACTGCACTAACTGGTTGACTGATTGAATGATTGACTAAGTGAGAGGGAGGGAGAGAGAGATTGTGTGTGTGAGCGAGCGAGTTAGCGATTAAGTGGCTATTGAGTGTGCGTTGCTTGTTTGTCGCAATATTCTGCGCAATTCTGATGGTTAGCATTATGATAATCAATGCACAATTATGGCGCACACTTGCACAACAGACTGCACAGAGGACTAACAAGCGAATCGAGCCAGTTGGGACCAGTTGGGCACCCACACACGGCACGACATTGCACTGCACTGCACTGGGCTGCCGTCGACTAAGCGGCTAAAGCGAAGACGAACTGCGCTGGCTTGTTAAGAGCACAATTTTCCAGTTGCGTCTTGGGAAGGCAATATTTATCTATATATATAGACATATATATGTATGTAGACAGTGATAGAGGGGTGAGACATGTACTTACAGTTATATACAAGTATCTGACATTAAACTAAGCTGCTTAGTTGGCAGCGCTAAAGTTCAATTATAATTGAAATATGTTTAAATAATGCGATGCAACGGAATAATAACAATAATAATAATGATGATGATAGTAATGATAACAATGCAGGAACCACATCAGCTGCTGCAGGTGCAGCTGCAATGCCAATTACCTCAAGGGCCGGCCGTCCCTTCGCATCGCAGACAATTTCAAATATGCATTCAATATGCCGTAGTTAGGCCGTAATTATCTCTCTAATTGAATATTTCATTTGATTATAGACAAATTGGCAAAAGGCCAGCGCTGACGACAAAGCCACGTGGCAGCTTGGCACCTGGGCGCCGGGACACCTGGACAGCTGCTGTTAGCGTCCAGCGTCCATAATTGCCACGCACCAATTTTTAATTTGTTTTAAATTGCTTTATAGCCTGAAAGTGTCTAACGACTTTGCAAGCCAAACTGCATTAATGAAGCCCAAGGAAATTTCTATGAAATTTCTCTCTGTGTGTGTGTGTGTGTTCGTGTTCTTATGGGCGTGTAATGCATGTTGCATTTCATTTCACTTCAACAAAAGCCCGTCTGATGCAATAATAATACCTTGGCGTCTCTCCTGATAGACGTCTGGCTTGGCTTATGGCAGCCAAGCGGCTTGAATATGCAGCCTCAGCAAACTTACTTCAAAATGCAATTGTTGTTCCAGCCTGCCTTTATGGAATATCTCTAAAACAAGCTGCGATAAGGATCTCTAGAATAACTTTTAGCATTGTCATAAAGTAGCAACGCTTTGGCAGGGTAACTTTGATATTGGGGGAAACTCTAAAGTACACCAATTTGATTTCCGATTACTGAGCAATATGTTTATTAGATCAAAAAAACATTTCATCTCAGTCATGTGACATATTCAGGCAATATATATACATATAAAATAATATATAATCAGCACCAAGTTAAAAGTTAGCCCCAATTGTCGACCATTGCACTGGGAAAATTAACCTTCAGGGAGGTATTTAACTGATTCGCAACGAATCGAAATGAGCAACGCGAGCAAACAAAATTTTTTGAATAAACGTAAAGTAAAGTTGTTGGTATATCAGAGGCTTTAAAAATAGCCTAGGCAATAAGGATAGATAGGGTGCATGAATATGTGAGGGCAGCTCTGCTCAAGAGCAGAATATACTGTATAACAAATTAGTGAAAATTATGGAACTAATTCCATGAATTGAACTTTACTAT